AGGGGTCGACCTCTGTCCTCCTACCAACACTGACTGTGACTGACCAGTGAGATAGGAGGAGAACCACCGTAATACGGTGCCACCCACTCCCAACTCCCTTAGTCGTCCCAGAAGGATACCATGGTCAATGGTATTGAAAGCTGCTGAGAGTTCAAGTAGCACCAAGATAGAGGAATGACCCCCATCTTGGGCTCACCAGAAATCATTCATCAGCATGACCAAGGCAGTTTCTGTGCTGTAGCCAGGCCTGAAGCCAGACTGAAAAGGGTCTAGATAATCTGTTTCATCCAATGACCACAGGAGCTGAAGTGCCACCACTTTCTCTACAACCTTTCCCACAAAGGGTAGGTTGGAGACTGGCCAAAAGTTCTTTAATTCTGCTGGGTCCAGGGAAGGCTTCTTGAGGAGGGGCCTTACAACTGCTTCCTTTAATTTCACCAAGCTGGGCTGGTGTAACCCCCCACCCCTTAGATATTTTAGTTGTAACGGATTTTAGTTGGGATGTTTTAAATCTGGCCCAAAATTTCTTTAATTCTTTTAATAATTTTAAATTTTGTATTGGATGTTTTTTATTCTTGGCTGTTCACCGCCCTGAGTCCAGCAGAAGAAGGACGGTATAAAAATTTAATAAAATAAATAAATAAATAAATAATGGTTGCGGGAAGGACCCCTCCCTCAAAGATGCATTAACTAAAGCCTGGAGCCAGCCTCATGTCACCTCCCTGCTGGCTGAAACCAGCCAGGAGGGGCACGGGTCCAACAAACAAGTGGAGGAACTCATCGCACCTACAGCCTTGTCCACTTCCTCAGGAGTCACTGGCTCAAACTCCTCCCACACAATAGGACTAAGACCCGCCCCCGTCATCTTGGTTGGTATTGCCCAATCAGAGTCCAGGTCCATCCGAATCTGAGCGACTTTATCCGACAGAAACTGCACAAACTCCTCAGCTCTACCCTGCAAGGGCTCCTCCGCTCCCCCTGTATTAAGGAGGGAGCGAGTCACCTTAAATAGGGCGGCTGGGAGAGAATCAGCAGATGCAATAAGTGCGGAAAAATGTGAGCACTTTGCTGCCCGTATCACCACTAAATAAGTCCTAATAAAGGCTCTCAAGAGTGTTTGGATTTACTGGTCCTCCAGCGTCGCTCTAGACGTCTCTTCTGGCGCTTCATCTCCCGGAGCTCCTCAGTAAACCAGGGAGCTTTCCTGGATCCACTGCCATTGAGAGGCCCCAAAGGCGCAATCCGGTCCAATGCCCCAGATGCCGCCCTATTCCAGGCAGCCACTAGGGTCTCGGCCGGACTATGGACAAGGGAGTCGGGTATCTCCCCAAGCTCCTTCTGAAACCCTTCCGGGTCCATTAGGCGTCTGGGGTGGAACCACTTAATCGGCTCCGCCTCCCTGCGATGGAGAAGTGGCGTCTTAAAGTCCAACCTCAACAGGAAATGATCTGACCACGACAAGGGAAAACCCTCTATACCCCTTAATTCCAGATCCTGTCTCCACTGCCCAGAGAGGAACACCAGGTCGAGCGTGTGTCCCCCCTCATGGGTCGGACCCTGAACTACTTGGGTCAGGTCCATGGTTGTCATGGAAGCCATGAACTCCTGAGCCACATCTGAGGATTTGCCAAGTGACGGCAGGTTGAAGTCCCCCAGTACCATAAGCCTGGGGAACTCCACCGCCAACCCGGCTGTTGCCTCTAGCAGCACAGGCAGGGCTGTTGTCACGCAGCTGGGAGGCAGTACGTCAACAACAAGCCCAACTGAACCCTTGAGTCCATCCTCAAGAGGAGAGACTCACACCCAACAATCTCCGGGGCAGGGATCCTGCGAGGACAAAGACTCTTCTGGACAATAGCTGCCACTCCTCCACCCCTTCCCTGGAATCGTGGCTGATGCAATATCTGAAACCCATCTGGCAGGCAAGGCATCCCATTCATACCGAACCAGGGGTCATATCTAAGCCTCCATCTGCTTCTGCTTGCACACTCAGCAGAGGGGACTCCATTCCCTGCCCCTGGCTCCCTCATTCTCCCTAATTCCAGCCACTCCAAACCCACTCCTTCCATAATAATTTGAATTTCAATCTATCCCAAACCCACTCACACATACAGACACACGCACCCTCCTAAATTCTCCCAGGTTCTCAAACCTGGCAACTTTGAGATGTGAGGATACACACTGCTGGCTGGGGAATTCTGGGGGTTGAAGACTACAAGTTGCCAATGTTGAGAACTATTGATTAGATTCAAGCTCCCCAGATTCTATGAACAGCCTTCCTTACTCCGTTGCATAGTTAAAACAACTTCCTCACAAGCAAACTTCAATTGTTTTTGTCTGGTGAACTTAGTTCCTGGCATGTTGGCTCTCTATTTTGGCTGCTTTGTCCAGTCCTGCTAGACAGCTGCTGCCATGCCAGGGTAGCTTGTGGTTGAAGGCAGCATCAGATATGCTCCTCCCAACAGCAACGTGTTGTGTTACGTGTTTTCTGTGTGCCAGATGAGGAAGGATGATGGACTGACTCCCTTCTACGGAAAGGAAGTCGCCTCTTGGGAAAAAGTATTGTGGTTGTACAAGGGGGAAGACTCCTTGTTTTACTCCATGGGAAAGGCCCAGGATTGGGCCTGAGTGACCACTAGAGCACTAACTGGTAGAGCAACTCTGTGGTAATGCTCAGGATTTGAGAGCCAGGCCCGTCTCACCACAACTTCCACCTGTAAATTCAGGACTTGTATGGAAGGAGCCCTCCAAGGCTGTACACCTGTGTTTTGGGGTGCACAATTCTACTTCAAAACAGATGAATCTCAGTCCCTGAGTCCAGTTCCCTTCTGACCCACAGGAGCACACATTCATCTGATCTCTTGTAACCCTTCCTCTCCAATCTCTCCACTCTGCAGTGGGGAAGAGAAAAAAATGGGTCAGGCACAGGAGAGATTGACTCCCCCCCCCCTTTTTTTGCCTCTCCTTGCTTGTTTAAGCAATCTCTCCAGTCTTGGGTGGGGGGGACAGACAGATGATTTCTATAGGTAATCTCTCTGTGTATGAGCAAACAGAACAGCAACAAAACAGGGAACACACTGAGGCATTTCTGTAGTGTACTGGGGGATGCTGAAGCTACCACATGAATCTATTTATTTAGTATTTATTTATTTAGTATTTATTTATTTATGTATTTATTTATTTAAATTTACATGCTTTTGATGTGTATTTTGTGCCTGTTTATTCTCCTGTAATCCTCTCCTCTCCAATTTCTCTGCTGTGCAAGGGGGAGCAGGGAAAGGAAAATTCAGATCAGGCACAAGGCAGTGCATACTAAGTATAATGGCAATCATTCATGTAGGACACTGAGAAGTAATTGGTATTTTCTCTTTCATTGTGGATTGTATGGTTTTGTATTGCGTGGCTTGCCTCTTCTGGATTTGGACAGCAGGACCGCCAAAGGTTGATTTTTCCTTTTCCTTTGTCTTTTGGGGCCTTGTGGCCAGAGGGTGCTTCCTACATGGAGCAGCAGGAGAGGGAAACTAGACAGAACTGGACTGAGCCCTCTTTCAAGGTGGATGGGGGGGAAGTTAACAAGACTTGAGATCTTTTTCTATCCCATCGTAGAAATGCAAATCCTCAGCTGTGCCAAAGCTCCTGGCATGGAAGATGGTGGGCAGGGTAGAAAAGGAGGAAAATTGTGATATTTTGTAGTGATCACACTCCATCTCTCTGGAGATCCAGCCTCAAAGCACACCTGCCTCTCTTTCCCTGCTGTTCCATCTGGGAACCCACTTGGTCCAGCGCAGCCTGTTTCCCATGAAAAGTGAAACCCGGAAAGAGCTGGGCTGGGCTGGGCCTCCATTATGTAGCATAATTCCTGGCATGGTAGTTCTCTGTTTTGGCTCCTTTGTCCAGTCCTGCTGTCCAGCTGCCATGCCAGGACAGCAGGAGCTTGAAGCAGTGGTGGGATTCAAGTAATTTAACAACCGGTTCTCTTCCCTAATGATTTCTCTCAACAACCACTTTGCCAAACTGCTCAGAATGTTAACAACCGGTTCTCCCGAAGTGGTGCGAACCGGCTGAATCCCACCACTGGCTTGAAGACAGCGTCAGATAGCTCCCCTCCCACAGTGGCTTGTGTGCACCAGATGAGGAAGTACAATGGATCCCCTTCTGCAGAAAGGAAGTTTCTGCTTGGCAAATGGTCTTGAGGTTGTACAAGGAGGAAGAGGTGAATCCCATGGAAATACCCACCAAGCACTCACAGCCAGAGCAAATCTGTGGCAACATCCTGGAGACAAAACACAAGACCTATCTGACTACAACTCCCACCTGCAAATTCAGGACTTCTAAGAAAGGAGCCCTCGATGGAAGCACACCAGAGGTGGGTTTTAGCAGGTTCTGACCAGTTCTGGAGAACCGGTAGTTGAAATTTTGAATAGTTCAGAGATCCGGTAGTAAAAATTCTGACTGGCCCTGCCTCCATCTATTCTCTGCCTCCCAAACCCCAGCTGATCGGGAGGAAATGGGGATTTTGCAGTAACTTTCCCCTGGATTGGGGTGGGAATGGAGATTTTACAGTATCCTTCCCCTGGGGTAGGGTGGGAATGGAGATTTTACAGTATCCTTCCCCTGCCATGCTCACCAAGCCACACCCACAGTGTCAACTTGCAAAGCTTTCAAGTTGCCATGAGCAGGAGGGAGGGAGAACTGAAGTGAATTCCATACATTTTTTCTGACTGCAATCAGAAGGAGGGTGTTAGGTTTCACAGCCAGCCAAAGTGGTTAATTGGAGAATGTGATTTATGACATGGCCAGAGAGGAGGGGAGAGACAGGGTCATAGGGGAATGTAAATCTACGTGGGATCAGTCCTAACTGCATCCGAGTATTGCCGGAATGTTGCTCCTAATAAATGACTATATTTCCTTTGAAGTTTGGATCAAGGCTCATGAATTAATTAGGGCCTCTTTTGGAAACTTGACACACAGAACCGGTAGTAAAAAATGTTGAAACCCACCACTGAGGCACCCCAGTGTTTTTGGGGTGCACAACTCCACTCCAAAACAGATGAATATCCAAGTTGAGTTTCCTTCTGACCACAGGAGTAGACATCTGACTGGCTTCAAACTTGATCCTCATCACACTTAATATTCAAGGCTTGTTTTAATTGTGTTTAATATAAAAAGAGGAAAAGAGAACAAAAGGCATTGAAACATCATGGAAAACAAACAAATGAAGTAAGAAATTAAGAAAAAGGAAGAAAAATACCTAGATAATATAAATATTCAAATTGTAAACATACAAACAGGGAAAAATCAGCATGTTAAACTTTGACTTTACTGAAAAATAATAGTTTATTAGTATTTTTTCTTCTGTCAAGCCCTCTGGCTACCTGCACACCTTTGGATAGTGGTAGCTTCAGAAGGTACGTGCCACTGTTGATCTTGCAGCTGGGATGGATGGCGCACAATAGAAGATAGAATTATAGAGTTGGAAGGGACCTAACCCTAACCCTAGACCATTTCAGACAGATGGTTGTCCAATCTCTTCTTAAAAGCCTCCAGTGATGGAGTACCCACAACTTCTGAAGGCAAGTCATTCCACTGATTCATTGTTCTAACTGCCAGAACATTTTTTCCATAGTACTTAATTGCTTCTCTCCATCCATTGTTTCTTGTCTTGCTTTCTGGTCCTTTGGTAAATAGGTTGGCCTCCTCTTCTTTATGGCAGCCCCTCAAATACTGGAACTCTGTTATCATGTCTTCCGTAGTCCTTCTTTTCACTAGATTAGACATTCTCAGTTCCTGTAATGGTTGGCTTTGCTGAATTCATCAGCTGCTGTTAGATTCCTGATGACTCTGTGGTGGTGGAGGAAGGAATGCAGTGGACAAAGACCATGCCTAGACTGTAGATCAGTGGTCCCCAACCTTTTTATCGCCGCGGACCAATCAGCCTTTGATAATTTTACCGTGGCCCGCTGAGCGCGCGCAGGGGTGGGAGGCGTTGTTCGCGACGACACATTGATTGTTTATATATCAGATTGTTTTGATTAAACAACTTTTATTTTATTGTATTTAAACATCCATATTTCAAGTAGGACTCATTGTATTGTCTGTTAAAAGTTTTATGTTTCTTTGATGCTGAAGGCTCTTCTTCTGTCTCTTCACTGGGCCTTTTCTTTTTCCCAAGGAAACTTTCTGACGACATCTGTTTCGTACTCATCTTTGCTAATTTGTGGGTTAAATTTGAGCGAGGCGTTTTCTGTAGAGCCGCAGGGAGACTGGGGAGACGTCTGCAGGGTCGCAGGTACACGTCAGCTTTGGGCCACACGTGCGTACCTGCGCGGGGCTCTCTTCCCTGGAGCCTTTGCGCACGGCCCAGGAGCCTTTGCGCTGCAGCGTTCATGTCCCCCGGCCGCTGCAGCGATCATGTCCCCCGGCCGCTGCAGCGATCATGGCCCCCGGCCGCTGCAGCGATCATGGCCCCCGGCCGCTGCAGCGATCATGGCCCCCGGCCGCTGCGCGGCCCGGTGCCAGGTACTCCACGGCCCGGCACCGGTCCGCGGACCGGGGGTTGGGGACCACTGCTGTAGATAGTCCCCATTGCTACTGGGATTGATAGCTGGGATCAGCCGGCATCTTCGTGGTTTGGTGGGGAGGAAGCACAGGGTATCTTGGAAGGGAAGCATGAAGGAGGTGAAGAGGCCTGGCCTCAGGGAGGCCAGCTTGGGTTATTTGACATTTTCAAGGGCACCTGTCCAGGAATTGGAATGTGGGAAGGAGGACTGGTGCACCTGAACCAGAGGCTTTCCTAAAACATCTCTCTGGCCAATAATTGAACTCTGGTTGCCTAGCTACTGAGGGGTTTGCTTCACTTTGTTACTTCGCTCAAAATTTCTTCAGATCTTACCTGACCTTGCTATATTCAACATGTTCGTAGTAAAAGTACCTTTTCTCTGATTTGTGGAGTCAAGGGTTTTTCTTTCCTAGGGATTGAGTGGAGATAGCCCTGATAGTAGCTCTGTCATTAAGCTGGTCACTAAATGGGAAATCACATGATTGCAAGTAAAGTCTACTGTTGCCCTTTGAATGCTTATCTGAAGGCTGGTGTAATTGTCAAAAAGAAAATGAATTGTGTCCACATTCATTGGAGAGAAAGGGATTAAAAGGAATATAGGGAATACTCATTGAAAGAAATGCAATAAAGCCAGTTGTACAGCCTGTACAGTATTCCCCATTGTGTGCCTGCTTACTCTCTTGTAATCCCTTCCTCTGCTTATTGTATGTATGTAATCCCTCCCCATACATCCCAGCCCATTAGACATTGGGTGATACCTTTATAGAAAAGAGTCACCCAGATTTGAAAACTCTGGAAAACAATAAAACAACTTTCCATTTGATTTCTTCCAAACTTCCCACCCTATCCTACTTGTGCAATTCTCAAGTAGGACAGTCACAATCACACCTCTCCTCTTTTGTGATCAAAACTTCTCCATTTTTCAAGCTCGTCATCTCAATCGTCCTTGTTAGCCCTGCAAGGTAGTCCAGACAAGAGGCTCAACCAGGAGTACAAGATCTGTTTTTATTGCAATTAAGAAATCTTGCAAGTCCCAAAGTACATTTTTCTCCTCCTGTCTCTCCCAAGGCCCTCCACACCACCTTTGGTTAATCTTCTCAAGATGAATTGGGAGGAAGTGGGGACCTTGGGAGGGCTCAGCTACACCATAATATTCTTATAATGACTTGGATAGAAAGGTAGGGTCTGATTCATATCATATTATATCATAGATCATAGATTATAGATCATATCATATCAATCACAAAGATGATTAGAGTAGGGACTAGAAGCTAAAACATATGATATATGGTTGCAGGAACTGGGCATGGCTGGTCTTCCCAAACCGCATAAAATTCCGAATCATCTTTTTCTTTTAGTTCTAGGGTAAGTTTATCCATTTCGGCACATTCATGAATGTTTTGTAGACTTTCAAGTTGTTTGACAAAATTTGACAAAAAATTGTCATCTTCTGAGTCTTCCGGTTTGCTGCTTGTCGCCGCCAGACGATCTCTCGGGATCGCCAGCCCCATTGCCTGTAAAGAGCTGCCTTCACAACGGAATGGCGGCTCGAAAAAACTCCGTTTCCATGAGGAAATGGAGATAGAGCCGGCTAGGGTGGGTAGAGCTCTCTGCGTAGCCCCAAAAGTTTTTTTTTTACTTTTGGGGACGGAGCAGATGAGACTCCCCATTTCCCTAGCCGCTGCTCTGGGCTTTGGGAGACCTCTGCTTATGCAGAGCTAGGCGACAAGATCAAGCCTACAAATTTAACAGATTAATTAAAGAGGACGTGAGTTGGACCTGTGATCCTGAATTGCAAGTATTTCATTTACTTTATAAAAGTTATTCAAGAAGGGAAGAAGGAAAAAAGAATTTTTAAAAATGGCGACTGCCGAGGCTTGAGAAGGGGCTGAAAGGGAAAATCCTTCCGTTTTCTATTACTACAAAGTAGCGGAATAAATACTCTTGGCTACAATTGAAGGTAAAACTTCACTTTTGTGTTTTTTTTTTTTCTCCTGGAGATTTGATATTGATCTTGGTTGGAAAGAAGCTTTTTTCTCTCTGCTTTTCTTTTCTTTTCTAAAAAAAAAGTTTGTCTGGGCGGAAACATGGCATTGAGACTTATAAAGCCGGACAAACAAGCAGTGGAGGGGGGGGATTCCCCCATTAACAAACTACATGAACAAGTTCTAAATCTCCAGTCTGATTTTAACATAATAGAATTTCTCTTGGAGGAGATTGAGATTGTGAGAAGGGATGAGATTGTGAATCAGAACTTTGAAAAATTTAAGCAGGAAATAAAAGAATTGGTGCAATCAAAGTTTGATATTTTGGAACGAAAGATTATAAAAATGGCTAATGGTTTTACAGAATTTATGATCCAGTTGGATGCAAATATTAATTTATTAGAGTCTAAAATGGAAGAAATTGAGGACAATTTGGACAATAGAATACAAAAAATTGAAAATGACTTGACAAATACTTAAGATAATAGCTTAGAAGAAAAATCTAAAATGGAGGCTGATCAAAAGACTTGTAATGCAGAAAATTTATAATAACGGATTGAAAGAGAAGTTTTAATGATGCAATACAATTTCACTGAATATGTGATTAGACTGAGAGGGCTGCAGGAAAATAACAGAGATGATTTAAGGAAAATATCTTCTGAAATTCTGGCTGGGATTTTAAAGGTTCAATCTGAGGAAGTATTTTGTAGGATCGATAGAGTTTATAGAATAAATTCCTGGACTGCAAAGCAAGGCAATTGCCTAGAGATGTGGTGATTTATTTTACAGATAAGGAGATAAGAAATAATATTGTGCAAAATTCTTACAACTCTACTTTGCAATGGTTTGGAAGAAAGATTTGGATATACAAAGAGCTCCCGCCCAAGATGTTATTGGAAAGAAAGAAATTTGGTTTTCTGGTGACTGAACTTAAAAAAAGAAATATTCTATTCAGGTGGGATGCTCCAGTTGGTATTATATTGAGATATCAAGGAGAAAGATATCAATTAAATACTGTTGAAAAAGCGGAAGAATTTTATCAAAAATTTTTGAAAATGAATTCAACATCTTTATGCACAATACAGGATAAGCAGAAGGAATTGGAAATAAAGGGAAAACATCGAATTATAGAGGCTTCTGTAGACAAATTGCCTTCGGATTCTTTAGACACCTCAGCTGGATTATCTACAAATAAAAGAAAAGTGGCATCGGATTCTAATGTGATCATGATTCATCAAGTCACAGACGAGCATGGAAATCAATTAGCTGATATACAATTGATAGAAAAGAAACATGAATTACAAAAGCAAAACCAACAAGATCAAGTCATAAAGCAGAATGAAAATCGATCAGTCGATATACAACTTGCAGAAAGAAAATTAGGATGGAGATCAAACCCACAAAAGGAAAAGAAAAAAAGGAATAGGTCTCACAAAAATAAAAATTTCTAAATTAAGCAACAGTGAAGCCAGTCTTTTTTTTTAAAAAAATGAATGAATATATGAAAAGTCAGCTGAGGCGGAGTATTGGTTAACATTATCCTGAGGAGAGTGACAGACCTCTGCAATGCCGTAATTTTGGGATGTGAAAAGAGCC